TGTATTATTCCAATTTTAGGACATTACTTTTTATATTTCATAAATAAATAACAATAAAGATACTATTTCTGGAAGTGGTGTATTCAATTTCCGCTGTCTGTATTCCTACGTTAAAAAAAAGTCCTGGATTCTTTCTTAGATACACAGAATATAACTGGATATAACATTTATAGATAAAGTTGATCCAGGGAATATCCAATTGCCTCTCAGGGGATCAGGAAGGAATTTTTCCCCCGCAGGAGCAATTTGGGTCATGCTTTGCTGGGTTTTTTGCCTTCCTCTGGATCAACTGTGGGTATAGGATTATAACTTTTTTTTTTTTTAATGGTTGAACTGGATGGACTTTTGTCTTTTTTCATCCAGACTAACTGTATAACTTGGAATTTTTGTAAATTCACTGTTATGTCAAAAGTATTGAGACGCCTGCCTTTACACGCACATGAACTTTAATGGCATCCCAGTCTTAGTCCGTAGGGTTCAATATTGAGTTGGCCCCGCCCTTTGCAGCTATAACAGCTTCAACTCTTCTAGGAAGGCTGTCCAGAAGGTTTAGGAGGGTGTCTATGGGAGGGTTTGACCATTCTTCCAGAAGCTCATTTGTGAGGTCAGGCACTGATGTCGGATGAGAAGGCCCAGCTCGCAGTCTCCGCTGTAATTCTAATCGAACCTCAAAAGGTGTTCTATTGGGTTGAAGTTAGGACTGTGCAGGCCAGTCAAGTTCCTCCACCCCAAACCCACTCATCCATGTCTTTTTGGACCTTTATGGACCTTGCTTTGTGCACTTGTGCAAAACCATTTTGGAACAGGAAGGGGCCATCCCCAGACTGTTCCCACAATGTTGGGAGTATGAAATTGCCCAACATGTCTTGGTATGCTGACGCCTTAAGAGTTTCCATAACTAGAACTGAGTGGTCAAATCCAACCTCTGTTAAACAACCCCACACAACGTAATCCTCCCTCCACCAAACTTTATACTTGGCACAATGCAGTCAGAAGACAAGTACTGTTCTCCTGGCAACTGCCAAACCAAGATACGTCCACTGGATAGCTAGACAGAGAAAAACGTGATTGGTCACTCCAGAGAACACATCTTCACTGCTCTAGAGTCCAGTAGCAGTGTGCTTTACACCACTGCATCCAACTCTTTGCATTGCACTTGAAGAGGTTTAGGAGTGTGTCTATGGGAAGGTTTGACCATTCTTCCAGAAGCGCATTTGTGAGGTCAGGCACTGATATTGGATGAGAAGGCCTGGCTCACATTCTCCGCTCTAATTCATCCCAAAGGTGTTCTTGAGGTCAGGACAGTCAAGTTCCTCCACCGCAAACTCGCTCATCCATGTCTTTATGGACCTTGCTTTGTGCACTGGTGTGCAGTCATGTTGGAACAGGAAGGGACCATCCCCAAACTGTTCCCACAAAGTTGAGAGCATGAATTTGTCCAAAATGTCTTGGTATGCTGACACCTTAAGAGTTCCCTTCAATGGAACTAAGGGGCCAAGCCCAACCCCTCAAAAACACCCCACACCATAATCCCCCCTCCACCAAACTGTACACTTGGCACAATGCAGTCAGGTAAGTACCGTTCTCCTGGCAACCGCCAAACCCAGACACATCCATCGGATTGTCAGACAGAGAAGCATGATTGGTCCCTCCAGAGAACACATCTCCACTGCTCTAGAGTCCAGTGGCGGCCAATCAAGTTCCTCCACTGTAAGAGTGTATATATTTGGAGTATATATGGTTTTTAAATTTTTTTTTTAATTTATTATATTTTTTAAATGTGTTTGGAGACTTCTCATGTGTTGATTTGGCAACAAGTAGGCATGGGTGTTTGATACACTACTAGAGTCACACAACTTGGGAAGATATATACATATTCCTTAGCACAGATTATCATACCGAGAGGGGGAGGTGCATTGTAGTACAGATATGGTTAACAATTTGTATTATTAATTTCATTTATTTATTTATAGTTTGGATTGGCAGCACAACACGATTAGTATTTCTCAGTAGTAAAACATTAATAATTAAACTGTTACTAAACCCAGGACCATGCATTAACTATATCTGGTCTCCCACAGTACACAGAACATGGAAATGCAATTATTTTAGTAAATATAAACTATCAATGTCCAGCCGAGCACTGGTTAAAGCTTGTAGAAGAAGTTTTCATTCTCCTCTGACTGTCCTATGAGGCTGCATGACCTTTGACCCTCTGTCTGGAAAGTGCTTATTGGCTCTGTGCCAATCACGTGCACCCCCCCTCCCCCCAAAAAAAGTCTTAAGCAATACACACCAAACTGACCATGTGCAGAGTGCCTCCTAGGGCTCTGTACTATCAGCAGATGGATTGGGGACTATGGAAAAAGGAGACGATCAGAGAAGACAGGATCAAGCAGCCTTATAAAGCATTACAAAATGCGTAGGATTAACCCCTTAGGTTCCACAGTAAGTATAACAAGCATGCTTTACTGCATATACAGACTGATTTTACTATTGATGGTTTAGTAACACTTTAAGCAGTAGATAAACTAATTGATGACCTAAAACCATCATCTTCTTGCTAATCAATATCAATAGACATTACTCCAATTTAAATATTTAATTAAATCAGTGACAAAAGAATATGTATTTCAAAAAACAGGTACAATATACAGCATTCCCGCATCTATGGGGGGTGCTGGGGTGGGCTATGGCCCCCAAGATTTTAGTTGTCCCCCCCAAAGCCAACCCTTCCACTGTACTGCCCTAAACTGACACAATACAACCTTAATCTGATACTTTATCTCCCTAACTGACACTATACAGTGTAGTGCCCAAGCCTGACACTATACTGATCTCAGTTATGCATTGTGTGGGGAGGAGGGGCTCTGCTGCCTGTGCCCAGGCTGTGTGCAGTGCAGGGATGAGAGAAAGAACTGTGCCAATCAGGGGCAGACTGACAACTCATGGGGCCCCCGGGCAATAGGGGAACATGGGGCCCCTGTGTCCTTGCCCAAACTCAAAAAAACCTATGAAAAAGGTACCAGGGGCATCTCATGGGGCCCCCTACTGACCCCGGGCCCTCGGGGACTGCCCGAGTTTCCAAATGGTCAGTCCGCCCCTTGTGCCAATGTCCTCTGCCATGCCAGCAGTGACCCCTGTCCTCTGCCCTACTGACCCCTGTCCTCTGACCTACTGACCGCGCATCCTCTGCCCCCCTGACATTTTTTACTGCACCCCCACATCGCACAGGCTAGATCCGGCCCTGATATACAATACAAATGAATTTAGTGACCAATTTAAAAATGCCAGTTTTCAAATTTTCGAAACATGCAGTGTGGTGCAGCAGCGGTAAAGACACAGTCCAGTTGCAGATAAACTCAGAACTTGTATTGCAGATATTGCCAGCTGCAAACAGCATGCTTTGGGTAAAACTCACAGTTCAGTTCTTGCCAGATAGACAGTAGGTAAAGATGCACCGACAACGTCCATCTTCAAAGGGTGGAACATGACATGGCCAGTCCGGTCCCAAAGGGGCAGCTACCATGCAGGATTGCGAGTCCCTAGTGTGTCCTTACTCTTCTGGGACCTTTCCCTGCCCCTATCATTTTTCCTACAAATGTGGTTAATGACCAGCTTTACAGTAGTCTTAGCAATTTTCTGTACTTCAACAAACTTTCAACCACAAATAGGACACAAATGACGAAACAATAAAAACTGGGGAGAAAATTGACCAAAAACGCCTTTTCAAATTGGCCAATTTGCACTTTACTTTTAAAAAATTATTTGCTGGCAACTAGAAAATGACTGAAATGTAAAAACCGCTTAGTGTTCATTAAATTTTTTTCTAAACAACGGGGCTCAATCATTAATATGGAAAGAGGTTTGTCATTTAACTTTGTCACTAGAATGTTCTGAGTAAGTAGAGCCATTTATAATGTACAGTACATAGTGATGTCCCAACTGAACAAAGTGGTTCTTGTTTATTGTGAATATTATCTCAAACACACAAATTTCCATCATGGCAAGACCTCAGATGTCATTATCAGAAAACCGGATGGATTTTAATATATACACAGTATTCACAAAATTATTATTAAGCTAGTAGTCTCCTATAATGTATACTTTCAAAAATGAATGAAGATGGAAAAAAAAAACCCATGTAGAGAATATATTTCTTAGAACATAACATGATTGGTAAGGTTAAATAAAGACACTAGTCCATCCAGTTCAATGTGTGTGTGTTTGTCTCTGTTTGTGTCACTAACACTTTTAATATCCCTGTACATTGTGTTTGCTAAGAAACACATCTAAAAGTTGTCACCACCAACTGTGGAAGGGATTTCTACATCCTTACCACCCAAACCGTAAAGAACTGCTTGCAGTTGAAGATTGAACCACCTCTCATCCAACTCCATTGTGTGGCCACAAGTCTTGTTTAGAGACCTTAGAAGAAATAGTTTTCTCTCAATGCTAGAGTCGCCATTTATAGATTTGTATATTTTGATCATCTCTCCTCTTAAGCATCTCTTCTTCAAGGAGAATACGTTTAACTAGCTGCCGACCGCAGATAGCCGAATGACGGCTGCACTGCGGCCGGCCGGTTCTGAGTGGACGTCATATGACGTCCTCCCAGAACGCGCTCTCCTGCGCGCCCCAGGGGGCAAGCACCCGGCGATCTCCGTGATCGCTGTGTCCTACGGACACAGCTGATCACGTGATGTGGTAAAAGGCCAATCACAGCGGCCTTTTACCACGTGATCAGCGGAGTCCAATGACACGCTGATCAGAGGGAAATGCAAGTGCCGGTTCTCGGCTGCACTTTCCTCACGCTGTCAGATCGTGAGGAAAGTACTGCCGAGAACCGGCAGTTGTCAGAGCGGGGATCGGCACCGATCATCAGGACACTGATGATCAGTGCCCTGATGATCGGTGCCCAGCAGTGCCACCCGCAAGTTCCGCCCACCTGTGCCCACTAGCTCCGCCCACCTGTGCCCAGCAGATCACCCACCTGTGCCCAGCAGTGCACCCACCTGTGCCCAGCAGTGCAACCACCTGTGCCACTCTGCAGTGTCACACACCTGTGCCCAGAAGTGCCACCTACCTGTGCCCAGCAGTGCCACCCACCTGTGCCCACCCACCTGTGCCCACCAGTGCCACCCACTTGTGCCCACCCACCAGTGCTTCCCACCAGTGCAGCCCAGCAGTGCTGCCAGTCAGTGCCACCAGTCAGTGCCCAAGGGTTGTGCCAGTCAGTGCCGCCAGTCAGTGCCCAGCAGTGATGCCAGTCAGTGCCGTCTATCAGTACCCATCATCAGTGTCACCTATCAGTGCCGCCTATCAGTGCTGCATATTAGTGCCGCCTATCCGTGCCACCTCATTAGTGCTGCCTATCAGTGCCCTTTAGTGCTGCCTATCAGTGCCCACCAGTGCCGCCTATCAGTGCCCATCAGTGCTGCCTCATCAACGCACATCAGTGAAGGAGAAAAATTACCGGTTTGAAAAATGTTATAATAGAAACAAAGAAACTTTTTTTTTTTTCAAATTTTTTGCACTTTTTTTATTTATAGCGCAAAAAGTAAAGCGCCCAGTGGCGATTAAATACCACCAAAAGAAAGCTCTATTTGTGAGAAAAAAATGATCAAAATTTCATATGGATACAATGTTGCATGACCGCACAATTGTCAATCAAAGTGCAGCAGTGCTGAAAGCTGAAAATTGGCCTGGTAAATAAGGGGGTATAAGTGCCTGGTAGGCAAGTGGTTAAAGTAGAACTAAAGGACAATTTTTTTTTTCCATTTTGGATACAGTAAGGTAATGGTTATAGCTACGGTTGTACCAATACGGATACCGGTATCAGTTTCGGTGCCAACACTAAGCATTTGCACGCGTATAATGATGAAAATGACCAATAAAAAGGCTCCAATGCTAAAAACAGATACCTTCAGGTTCGGTTCTCTCAGCTGTCAGGGGGTTTCCCCCACCGACAACTCGAAAGTAGACAATAGAATGCCGGCAATTATCGGTTGTTGAGGAGGGGGCCACCGTGTCCCTAACAACCAATGATATTTCAGCTATCAGAGGGATTCCCCTGCTGACAGCTGAAATGTAAAAAAAAGAAAGACAGCAATAGGTATTCTTCATCCTCTGTTAGCTCCTGTCCTATACGAGGCAGGGAGCAATGTAAATCCAGAACCAACATATTCCAGATGAGGTGTTACTAATGATTTGTACCGGGGTAATATGATATCTCTCTCTCTGGAGTCTATACCTCTCTTAATACAAAAGAGGATTTTGCTCGATTTAGAAGCCGCAGCTTGGCATTGCATGTCATTATTAAGCTTGTGATCTACCAGAACCCTCAGATCCTTCTCCACCATTGATTCCCCCAGTTGTACCCCCCCTAGTATGTATGATGCATATTCCTAGCCCCCAAGTGCAGAACCTTACATTTATCAACATTAAATCTCATTTGCCACATAGTTGCCCAATTACACAGAGCATTGAGGTCGGCTTGTAAGTTGGAGACATCCTGTAAGGATTTTATTCCGCTGCACAGCTTGGTGTCATCTGCAAAGACTGAAATGGGATTTATAATCCCAGACCCTATATCGTTTATAAATATATATGTTTCAGTGTGGCAACATGTGCTAAATCGCATGTTTTCCAATATCACACAAACACTCCTACTCCCTAACTCCCCTCCACACTTCCCAAACCACCCTCCTACATGCTCTTCATAGGCAATAGGTATTGGTAATCGGTATTGGCAAATACTTTTAAAAAAGTATCGGTACTCGTCCTCCATGCTTTAAAAAATGGTATCGGTGCATTCCTAGTTATAACCCTCGTCAGGTTTTTTTTTTTTTTTGCCATCTGTGTCCCATTGGGGAGATTAACCTTTACTTCCTGTCCCATAGCCAACACAGAGGAAATCTATTGCGGTTTCCCATGACTATTGTGTCCATTGGAAGATCTCCCCTCAGTTCCTTTCTCTGAGGACAACATGGGCTGCTACATATTACAAAAATGGAATATGTAGAAGCCCACCAGTCCTTGTGATGTTGTCAGCTTTTTTTGTTCTTTTATTTTCACTTGGTGATTCTGTCGGTAACACGCTTTCTTTCCTAGGGTGACAACGCTCACTCAATGTACTGTATCTATGGAGGATGGAGAAGCAGCATTCTCATCCTATGACAGGAAGTTTGTTAGGGCTACAGAAGACATTCCGCTTTCCTATTCCCCATTACACTGTGAAGAAACACTGTGGTTCTTTCCTCTGACCCCTTTGAAACTTCTAGAGGTGGCTTAGAAGTCAGGAGAATGGAACTACAGCAAGTGGAGTCGAACACAGGAATCCAACACTCCGAGAAGTGTTGAAGACTACAATGGATGCTGTAGCACTGGAACCAAGGGGCTGTAGGAGACAAAGGCCACTGTAGAGTGGGACGCAGTAGGATTTTTTAATATCGGTTATTTTAGTTGTGATATACTGAAATGCAATTTAGTAGTATATCTTGTCAAGGTCACTGTTGGTGGTTTTGGCATGTGGTTGAAGTTAGAAACTCAGGGGCACAGAACTAACATTTAAAAAAAAAAAAAATCACAATCAGAGAGTGGCTCAACTTACTGCTGGCTCAGTTCAAACATCATTTTTTGTGAGCTCAGCCTTTAATTTCCTTAATTTTTTTTTTCTTCAAAACGAGTTATTCCCAAATACAAAACATTTTTAACTGGTTAACACACTGCGCCTCTTGGCTCATGAAACAGTTGTTGAGTAATCGGAACACTCTAAACGACAGCTTTATCGATGATTTATTTGTGACTTTTCCTGAAAATTGTCCTCTTGCTTCACAGTAGTGCACCTCAATAGATCATTCGATACTTGGACTCTTCTACCGAACAGATTGGCTATTCATTTAAGAGAAAGTACAATCCCATTGCTGTAATTCAGTGGTTTTAACTGCGTCCAAATAAATGTTTTCAGGCATGCTGTTACATAACCTTGCCACGGCCAGTAAAAATGATGATGTTTTTAAATGAATTTCCTACTTGCTCTATATGCCGTCCAACTTTAAATGTGGTTATGGAAATGCAGCTGCCAGTTTTATATAGAATACATTGCTATCTTTTTTTTATTCAGTTCATCTCTCTACATTAGGAAAGCAAATAAGATAAAGTGACCATGTCAAGTACAACCTTAGTTCACCTTTATAACAAATTCTGTTTGTGAATTAATTTTTTAACATCACCATCATACTTAAATTGTTTTGGTTGTCAGCTGTTCTTTTTTTTATAATTTTTTACTATACAATGTATTTTTGGTTTCGCCCATTAAAAAATATATATGAACTGGTTTATGCAGTTGAGTGGTACATCAAAGGGTTACTTTTAGTTTTAATGGCCAAAGTGAAGGCAATAGCAACCTTAGGAGTGAAGCAGTGAGTACAGGTAAATTAATTCACAAAATGCTTGATTTAGAACAGGGATCTACAGACTTTTTAAACCTAAGTTTGTGGAAAAACTGCAATAGGATCCAAATGACTGCAGACTTAAAAACTGCATCCACTTTATTGACAATCATTAAAATGTCATATAAAAGCAACAGTAGATATTGTGGTCGCAAGGAAACACAGTCAACACAGTCATGACTTTTGTTGTTTTCAAGTATGCAGCCTTTTTGATTCTATTGCATTTGTCCCACATGTCTGGATGTCCAGTGATTGCATCTGAATGCACTGGGGATGAAAGGGACTGTGTGGCAGACCCAACTTGAGCAGCAGAATACACAGAGGGCCAACGTTACTGTCCTTCAGACTTTAGGGGGCCTGGAGTGTGGACAGCAGATGTAGAAAATGTCCTGACATCAGTGGGAGAAAACACTATATTAAAGGGAGAAATACAGTCAGGTCCACAAATATTGGGACATCGACACAATTCTAACATTTTTGGCTCTATACACCACCACAGTGGATTTGAAATGAAACAAACAGGATGTGCTTTAACTGCAGACTGTCAGCTTTAATTTGAGGGTATTTACATCCAAATCAGGTGAATGGTGTAGGAATTACAACAGTTTGCATATGTGCCTCCCACTTGTTAAGGGACCAAAAGTAATGGGACAATTGGCTTATCAGCTGTTCCATGGCCAGGTGTGTGTTATTCCCTCATTATCCCAATTACAATGAGCAGATAAAAGGTCCAGTGTTCATTTCAAGTGTGCTATTTGCATTTGGAATCTGTTGCTGTCAACTCTCAAGATGAGATCCAAAGAGCTGTCGCTATCAGTGAAGCAAGCCATCATTAGGCTGAAAAAACAAAACAAACCCATCAGAGAGATAGCAAAAACATTAGACGTGGCCAAAACAACTGTTTGGAACATTCTTAAAAAGAAGGAACGCACCGGTGAGCTCAACAACACCAAAAGACCAGGAAGACCACGGAAAACAACTGTGGTGGATGACCGAAGAATTCTTTCCCTGGTGAAGAAAACACCCTTCACAACAGTTGGCCAGATCAAGAACACTCTCCAGGAGGTAGGTGTATGTGTGTCAAAGTCAACAATCAAGAGAAGACTTCACCAGAGTGAATACAGAGGGTTCACCACAAGATGTAAACCATTGGGGAGCCTCAAAAACAGGAAGGCCAGATTAGAGTTTGCCAAACGACATCTAAAAAAGCCTTCACAGTTCTGGAACAACATCCTATGGACAGATGAGACCAAGATCAACGTGTACCAGAGTGATGGAAAGAGAAGAGTATGGAGAAGGAAAGGAACTGCTCATGATCCTAAGCATACCACCTCATCATTGAAGCATGGTGGTGGTAGTGTCATGACGTGGGCATGTATGGCTGCCAATGGAACTGGTTCTCTTGTATTTATTGATGATGTGACTGCTGACAAAAGCAGCAGGATGAATTCTGAAGTGTTTCGGGCAATATTTTCTGCTCATATTCAGCCAAATGCTTCACAACTCATTGGACGCCGCTTCACAGTGCAGATGGACAATGACCCAAAGCAGACTGCAAAAGCAGCCAAAGAGTTTTTTAAGGGAAAGAAGTGGAATGTTATGCAATGGCCAAGTCAATCACCTGACCTGAATCCGATTGAGCATGCATTTCACTTGCTGAAGACAAAACTGATGGGAAAATGCCCCAAGAACAAGCAGAAACTGAAGATAGTTGCAGTAGAGGCCTGGCAGAGCATCCCCAGGGATGAAACCTAGCGTCTGGTGATGTCTATGCGTTCCAGACTTCAGGCTGTAATTGACTGCAAAGGATTTGCAACCAAGTATTAAAAAGTGAAAGTTTGATTTATGATTATTATTCTGTCCCATTACTTTTGGTCCCTTAACAAGTGGGAGGCACATATGCAAACTGTTGTAATTCCTACACCATTCACCTGATTTGGATGTAAATACCCTCAAATTAAAGCTGACAGTCTGCAGTTAAAGCACAGCTTGTTCCTTTAATTTCAAATCCATTGTGGTGGTGTATAGAGC